CCCCAAAACCCCAAAACCCCAAAACCCCAAAACCTCACCTTCCACCCCCAAATCTCACCTAAAACTTAAATAAATATCTAAAAAATGTCAGACAGCGTAACCTCCCCTCTTTCACCCTCCTAGGCCCCTATCGACTACAACAGCACACTGATGGACATAGTGAACAAGAACGCCATTCAGCCTGAAAACAGTAGGGTTGTGGTGGTGATTTTGTAGATGAGCAAAGTCTCATAGAGAGTTTGCAGAGTGTTGTTGAGAAGCAGATAAAGCAGCTTGAGGGGAAGTAACAAACTTATTGAGAAAGCAGAGCAAAAGTTCCTTCAATTAGGTGAACTAGCCAGAGAGGAAAGAAATAAGAATCTCTCATTACTTCAGAAGTAAATTATTTTGAATCCTATATAGACAAAATCTCCTTGAAACAGATCTACAGAGAATTACTGCTGAAAGGGATGAAAACATAGAGACACTCAGTACGTCACTCCTCTTTAGTCTCTCATCACTACATATAGAGCAATTCAAGGAGATTAACCAGGACATGACTAAGGCACATGAAACCATCCGCAAGCTTAAGAATGAAAACAAAGAACTTGTTGTAACGAAGTACAATCTTGGTATTCCTTCATCTAACTTTAACAGACCTCAAGAAGAAAGAACTTGAGAATGCGAATATAGAACTTAATGTAGCAGAGAGTGAGAAGGGTCGTCTCAAAAAGGAACTGGATGACTTGGATGAAACCTGCAGAGAGGCTAAAAGAGCCCTCGAAAAGCTCCAACTTGCTCATCAACAGGTAGGACCTTAGATTTATATTTAGACTGAAGAAGAAATCAAAACTCTTAAAATAGAGAACAACAAGCTTTTAGACAACAAACTTGATCTTGAGAGTACACCTGCGATTTAAGGTTTAGATGAACGGGACTCCTTGAAGCACAATCTTGAAGTACGTGATGCAGAGCTGAATCAGACTAAATAACGAACTTAAATCCCTCAAAGACTCATATAATTCCTTAAAAGAGAAACATAATGACCTCAAATCAGACTACTCATCACTTCAGGGAGAGAACGAGTCTTTATTAGAGAAGGTTAAAGATCTTGAGGAGTCACAAAAAACTCTGAAAGCCACTATGGATGAAAAATAACAAGGAAATTTCAAACTCAGTATCATTTCATAAATAACTGATTACAGGGAGACAGGTTCAAGCAACTACAGAAGTCAATCCTAGATGAGAACAGAGGGCTTAAAGAGCAGACTAGGTACTATGAACACCTTATACCACTAATCGTCCTGTGGCTTAGCTAACCTTCATACATAGGGTAAGTACTAAGGCATTACTGATAGTATCAAAGAGAGGAAATCAACCGTCTGAAATCCACTTTTGGTGATGACATGAATCAGCTTGAGAAAATCAAAGCTGGGTATGAAGAAGAGATTAATGACCTCAATAATCGTCTTACAGAGTATCTTAATAACTACGTACATTCATCTTCTGAGGTATAGAATAAAATTGAACTTACTCTTGAGAAATATAAAAGGGATTTAAAAGATGCAGAACTCCAGGTACGATCCTCTAATCGTATATATTGCAGTTCAAATTCGAGCTTGAGAACCAACAAGTAAGCTTATTTGGAATGTTTTTAGAACAAATTTGAAGAAGAGATGCTTGAAAAAGATACACAAATGAAGGAACTTGGACAAGATCTGGCTGAACGTCATATGATTATAAAAGAGATGAAGAGTCTTTACTCTGATTAAGGTTTTAGAATTTCGTTAAAGCTCTCATTATAATTTCTTTTTCAATTTTTTTTTATCTAAAAGGGGTTTTGGGGTTTTGGGGTTTTGGGG